CAAGGGCCGCTGAGCCGAGGCTTTGAAACGTGACAGATCAGGCATTTATCTAGTGGCGGCTGCGAAAGGTACAAGGGGTCGAGGAAATTCCGAAAAGCAGCTGTACAGTCTTTGTGTAAAAAGGTTCGGAATTACGTTGTGGTACCCAGACAGCTATCCGAGTGAAAGGATGTATACGCAAAGCTCGCCACTGATGTAGCTGCTGCTACCTTTACATGTAGGTAGGGACCTACTAGGGACCTAGGTACCTACCTACCTAGGTAGGGACTAAGCAGTAGTAACTGCTGGAGCCGGTTGGGGTGGCCGGTTCCGCCCAGTCGCGGCACCTGCGTATTCGTTCGTGCCTGCCAATGCAGATAGACCAGACGTGACTGGAACATTCACACACGTTGAAAGCTTAATGGCATGTGAGGAGGGGTCTGGTCTGGTCGGTTGGGGGATTGGCTGTGGGGCGGCGACTGGACTGGACGGGACGGGACTGGACTGGAGGACAAAGGTCTAGTGTCGGTGCGTGCTGGTGGTGCAGGGCGGAGGCGGCGGCGACGTCAGGTGCACGCAGGCTGGGGCGCCTTGCAAGGCCTCGTAGGGCCTCGCCGGTCCCGGGCAGCCAGCCAGTCCGTCAGTCAATCTCGCAAGGCGCGCATGCACCAGCCCGGCCAGCGTGAGACAGACCAGCCAGGCACTCCAGTCTACCAGACCGGACGACCAGGCCAGGCCAGGCCAGGCCAGTCAGACCAGACCATGCTGCGCCCCGCCAGCACCTGGCTGGAGCCCAGCTTGACAGCCTGGCAGGGGCCCCGCAGCCGGGCCACGCCAGACATCCATGGGACCAGACCAGATGGCACTCGGGGCAGTGAAAAAACACTAGAGACGTCGACAAGAAAAGCATCTGCCCGCACTTTGTCCTTCTCTTGCTTTGCTTCTCCCCCCCCCATCCCAGCCCGACAGCACAACGGCATCGCCGCCGACGTCGCCAATTCCCGCCCTCCTGGGTGCTTGTCACTTCCTCCCTGTACTCTCATCGCGCTGTACTTCTGTTCATCTTCTTTCTCTTCTTCTCGACGTGTTGAGTCTGCCTGCCTGGTGCTCGACACGGCCGCCAAATTTGCCCGCGGGTCGTCATTTGTTCAGACCGCCTCTCGACTTGCTGTCCATCGCTGTCCTGCTTTCATCAGGAACTGCCAAGTGAAGCTCGGAGCAACGCCTGCGGTAGTCTGTGCTACAAACCTTTGTCGCTGTCTCCGATACTGAACCTCAATTCTTGGTTCTGGTTGCTGTCGACCTCGCGCCCGCCGCTCCAACCTACCAGAAAAAGCGGAACAAGAAAGCGACAAGAGCGAAGTCAATGAGGCCTCGCTGACCCATCGTTTTCGTTGTCTGTTTGTTTGAGAAGTCACTCGGATTACTCGCGAGCTACTACAAGCTAGTTTTTTCTTTCTAAACTACATTTTTCTCCCCACCGTCACAGCACACCAACGCAGCAGACCAAGAGAGAAAAACAGGACACAGCAAGACTCTTGCATTGCCACGAGAATACACCGATAGAATACTTATTTCAAGCATCCCTGGCTGACTGCACAAGAACACAACCGAGACCCTGTGACTTTGACTAGCCATGGCGTCTCCTTTGCAGTTTGCGTATCGAACCCAGAAGACCATTGGTGTTTTCGACGCCGCTCCGGTCTACCAACCCCTCGCTGGTTTCACAAAACCTGAGGGTAACTTGCGGTGCAGCGCTTACTCGCCCTGCGGCCGCTTCTTTGGCTGGGCCAACCCCGAATCGGTCACCGTCGTCGATGCCTCTGCAGGCAATGTTGTGCTGGTTCTTCCCCTAGTCAATGTCTACGAACTCGGTTTCTCACCGCTTGGCACTTTCGTCATTACATGGGAACGACCGGGAAAGGATGAGGCCGGCGATGCCACCAAAAACCTCAAAGTCTGGCGCACCGTGGAAGAGGGCGTTGCCGGCGGTGACAAGCAGCCAATCGGCCGGTTTGTACAAAAGCAACAGGGCGGTTGGAACCTCCAGTACACCGCTGACGAGAAGTACTGCGCACGACTGGTCACTAATGAGGTACAATTCAACGAGAGCCATGACCTTGTTACCGTCTGGAATAAGTTGAGAGTGGAGGGTGCGGCCAGTTTTGCCCTGGCACCTGGAAGCCAGAATCATGCTGTGGCCGTGTTCGTTCCAGAGAGAAAGGTGAGCCGGTCCACTGCCTATCAACCACGCCTTTCGATAAAAACTCAAAACGTTTTGACAAAAGTGAGATTTACTGCTTACTGACTGGATCTTTCTCCATTTTACAGGGCCAGCCAGCAGTGGTCAAGGTCTTCAACGTCCCCTTATTCCAGAATCCCATTTCCCAGAAGACTTTCTTCAAGGGCGACAAGGTTCAGTTCAAATGGAACAAGCGTGGGTCTTCGCTGCTCGTACTTGCGCAGACGGATGTCGATAAATCTGGCAAGAGTTACTACGGAGAGACTACTTTGTATCTCCTTAGTACCAATGGGGCGTTTGATGCTCGCGTGACTCTTGATAAGGAGGGTCCCATTCACGACGTGTCGTGGTCACCAAACTCGCGAGAATTTGGAGTTGTCTACGGCTACATGCCGGCCAAGGCCACGATCTTCAATGATCGGGCCGTCGCCAAGCACTCATTTCCCCTTGGACCACGTAATACGATCACGTTCGCTCCCAGCGCCCGCTTCGTTTTCGTCGCTGGCTTTGGCAACTTGGCTGGCCAAATTGATATCTATGACCTTGAAAAAGACTATCGTAAGGTCTGCACCATCGAAAGTGGCAATCCAAGTGTGTGCGAGTGGAGCCCTGACAGTCGATACCTCTTGACGGCCACAACATCCCCTCGCCTCCGAGTCGACAATGGAGTGAAGCTCTGGCATGTTGGTGGTAGCATCATGTACAATGAAGATATGGTGGAGTTGTACAACGTCGTGTGGCGTCCTGCGGCCCCTGAGAACGTGGCCGGCGGAGATCCGCTCAATCCTGTACCAACACCCCATGCCTCGGCCACCACCTATCTGGGCACGGTGAAGACACCCAGCAAGCCTGCTGGGGCCTATCGCCCACCTGGGGCGCGCGGCCTTGCTACGCCCCTCCATTTCAAGCGCGAGGACGAGGGTGGTGCTGCTCATGTCGTGAGTAACGGTACACAGAATGTCGGGCCTAATGGCTTTGGCCGTCCTCGTCGAGGAGTGCCTGGTGCCGAGCCGGCCGAGCCGTCTACCGGATCTAGAAGCGTACCGGGGGCCGAACCTGCCGGAGATGACGGCAATAAGAAGAACAAGAAGAAGCGAGGCAAGAAAAACAACCACGATGGTCGTCTGGAGGCGGAGCCGAACGGTGGCGCGAGCCTTTCTCCGTACGATAACGGCAACGGCAACAGCGCCGGCACCAATGGACGAAGCCCTGAAAGACGAGGCGCTGCTAACGGCAACGGTCGTGATCATCGAAGCAGATCACGAAACAATATGGGCAACCGCAGCCGTAGCAACACTCATCATAACCAGCGCTCTAATAATGCTGCAAACCAGAATAATGTTGCTGCTCAGCAGAGTGGTGCAGCAGCTCCTCCTCCTCCTCATGTTCCGGATCCTAACCAGAGCGCGAATGCGAAGAAGGTGCGCAGTCTTCAGAAAAAGATACGGGCCATCGAGGATTTGGAGATGCGACTTGCCGGTGGCGAAAAGCTCGAGGATACACAGGTCAAGAAGATTAACACTAAGAATTCTGTGTTGAAGGAGCTCGAGGTATTGGAAAGGGAATGCTAGATAGATCCTTGTTCGGCAGAGTCGTTTGTCCACGTGAGAGTTGCAACAAAAAGAAGATTGTTCCAACAGGCCAGGACATAAGATCTGACGAACATCCCGGGGAAGCGCAGAGGAGATTCAATAAATTGTGGCGACTAAGAGAGCCAAGAAAGAAAAAAAGGCGTTGACGGGACGGACGTCGTCTTCTCTGGATACGCTCCTGCACGTGTTGTGCTGCTATCATTAGGACTCTTTTGGAATACACTATTAAAGTAGATGGCCTTCACCATGGATTGCGGCGACTGGATGACTTGCGAGAACTCTTATATTTTATTGTGGTTGCTAATTCAGATGAAGCGGATAAAAAAAAGGCCCTGTATCCCCCTTCCAATCATGGCAAGATGGAAATGGGGAACAGGAAGGGGCAGAAAGGCGTCATGCCGGCCTGTAAGGAAAAAAAGAAGCGACTCTGTATTAGGTATTAAAGGTGTTAAAAATCAAACGTTTTGCGGCAGTCTTATTTTTCTTTCCCCTGGAAAACATGTGAAGATCGTTCAAACGACAACCAACCTTTTGCTAGCCTACAAAGATGACGAAAATGGACACGCGGACAAGGAACACGCATCCATCACATTGAGTTGAAATAGCCTCTTAGATACTGGCATTCACGACGCTCATTCGCCTGGCCAATTCAGTACGCGCACTCGCCCGCCATGAGTGTCTTCTCGGAGAGGATTCAATGGTGCTTGCAGATGAGGCTGTTCTGCGATGTGTGAGACCTGGGATGGTTCTATTCCTGCTCGACAATGAGCTGAGATGAATGGGGACTTTGTTTCTCAATTCCGGCTGTTCGAAGATTCTTCTTCTTTCCCCCCCCCCCCCCAGCCCCAAAATTATCGGAATGGCGATTGCACGCACTTATATTCTTCTATGTCGTCCACTGCTCAGGTCTGTCCGTAGCCCGATCCTCCTGACATAACATCTTGATATTAAATATCCATGGTTGTATTTTTTCCCCACTGCAAAGGTCAGACCGCCACTGGCAATTGATTTCTGCAGGTCACAAATCGTGAGCGTACCATGCATGGCTGGGCACCGATGATGGGCAAAGACGGTTTGATGCGAAAAGTACGATTGTCCGGGTAATTCAGCACGGCCGAGTCTGACGAGCTATAGCAATATAATATTCAATAATAGATCTCCTCCCAACATCGCATCGAGGATTCGGTGCCCGGTTAGCTCAATCGGTAGAGCGTGAGACTCTTACGAGTACTCCACATCTCAAGGTTGCGGGTTCGACCCCCGCATCGGGCTTTTCCTACTATATACCATTGACATTATTTTTTGCCGACCGCGACAGCTCTCTTTTTATCAGACGCATGACGCATTTTGTGTACACATTGGATAGATCGACACCTCTATCATTCAGGGTCGTCATAAACCTCTTGATATTTTTTCTTCCTTCTAGAGGTGTGGCGTTTCACTCCGGGATTGTGATTGGCCACTATGAATGACGCAACTCTGCTCGTGTCGTATGTGCTAACTTCTTTTCTTGCCTATTCATGATTCCGTTGGATGAGGGTTATCTTTAGGCGTTAGCCAAATTGCTAACTTGTTATGAAATGGCATTCGTCTAATTTCAAGATGATGAAAGCATTTGATGCATTTCCATCGAAAAGGGGTGTAGCTTCACTCTAGCATTGTTGTTGGGCACAATCCATGGTGCGCATACATACAGTCAGTGGGTATATGCTCGCCTGTCCGCGTCGTCTTCTTCTCCGTTAATAACACGCTACAAAGTTGAACAAAAAGCTGAGGCATCGCGCATGCATGATTACCATCCATCCATGCATGCGTGTATGCCTGTACATTGACCCCGGTCGACCGTCACCTGACCAGACAAACGCCAAACCAGTAGCAACCAAAACCATAACGCCAAGCTCCCGTCTTTCTTGCATCTCCCAACGTCTCTCGCGTCGGGCACAGCTCTCCTCCCCTCCTCCTCTCAATCCAGCCCGTCGGCTGTCTTGGCATCGTATCTCGTCTGCTCCTCGCGAAGCTGCCGAATCGTTCTGCTCCTGGCGCGAATGCGGCCCCCATATCTCCAGAACACAAACGGAATCGGGATCAGGGCCACCTCAAGCAGTCCGAGCACCGTGCCCGCCCACCGCGGCGTCAGCAAAGCATACATCTTGGGCCCAGCGAGCGGGAGGACGCCGCCAAAGATGCTCCGGATGACGGCGTTGCCGGCCAGCGCGCTCGCAGCGTAGATGCCGTACGCCCCGGCGAGATAGTTGGACCCGTAGATGAAGCTGATGGTGTTGCCGCAGCCAAAGGGGATGCCAAACGCGATGGGTACGGCCCAGTGAATCGATCGCGGGAGACAGGTCCACGAGAAGCCCAGCTGTCCGATGGCGGTGGCGATGGCACCCATGGCCATGATGGACGCCTGAGCTTCGGGATACGGCTTGCCCGTGTCGGGGTCCTTGGCTTGCGCGTGGATGATGCGGCGGAAGAGCGGCTCGGCCGCGATGCTCGCGACGCTGCCGATGCCGATGCCGGTGAAGGCTAGGCCTGAGACGCCGGGGCCCCAGCCTCGGTATTGGGAAAAGACGACGGGATATGCTACGAAGCAGAGGTAGAGGATTCCATAGACGACGGAGACCCTAGAGTTTTCAGACTATTAGCTGATGACTCTGCCTTTGCACCGTTATACCCACATACACGCATGGATACACGCAGCCGCAGAGAGAGAGAGAGAGAGAGAGAGAGAGAGAGAGAAGAAGAAGAAGAGAAAGGCGGCTAGGTCTCACCAGAAATTCATAAACCACAGAATAGGCTCGGTAGCAAAGAGTACAAACGGCCGGCTCAGATTGACCTTGAGCAAGCACGCCGTTGATACCTTCTGGTCATAGCGACACCAGTACCGGCTGTCATCCATATCCTTCCGCATGCGCGCGGCCTTGCTCTGCAGAATCTTGGGCGCATATGTCTCTTTGACAGTGAGCATGAGGACAAAGGCCAGGCCGGCCATCATGAGCACGATCCAGTTGGACCACCGCCATCCGAGGTGTTCGAAGATGAAGCCGCCGATGATGGGGCCTGTGACGGGTCCATTCATAGGGGCCATGCCGAAGAGGGATATGCTTCTGGCGAGGTAGTCTGGATTGGAGACGTCGACCACGCTGCCTGGGGCGTTAGAGAGCATGACGGAGCCGAAGAAGGCGCTATAATGAGATATGGTAAGTACAGGATTCCGCTGTTGGTCCAAGGATAAGAGAAGGGAGACGGCAAAATCGACACGAACCCAACGAATCGGACGACGATTATCGTCGTCAGGGACTGTGCCAGCCCGCAAGGCACAATAAGGACTGCCCACAAGACTAAACACACAATATAGATCCGTCGACGACCATATAGCTCGCTCAGCGGCGCGACAACCAGGGTCCCGGCCGCCAGACCCAAAAGATAGGTCGTCATGCCCAGGGTGACCAGCGTTTTGGACGCGTTAAACTCCTTCATGAGACCGGGCGTCGACGAGGTATAGCTTGTGCTGTACAGCGTGGTGACCCAGGTAGCAAAGGAGGCGCAAAAAATGACCCAGCAGCGGTACCAGAGTGCCCAGTTCAAGGGATTCTCGGGGTCATGGTCCGAAAACTTGACCTCGAATTCGAGCAGTCGTGATGCGGTGCCTCGGATACTTGTTCCCGTCGGGACGGGCTCGAGATGTAGTGTTTCCTTCTGCTTCTTCTTCTCCTCGATGCTGCTGCTGTTGCTGATGTCTGTCTGCCCGCCCGCGTATGTATCGGTGTCGTTGAAGGAGGACGTCGACAAGGACGAGGGGAGGGAGAGTGTCGACGCCGATGCCTTTTCAGGGTCCTGTGCCATTTTGATTTGATTTTCCTTTCTTTGCTTCCACCCTCCTCTTGCTTGATTGGTATTTTCACGTAGTCGGTGGATAATTTTCCACTGGGTAAACGCAAGTTTGACGAGAACAAAACAAAACAAAAAACGAAGAAGAACAGGAAGACGACGGCGACGACGGGAAGAGAAACAATTTGTCGCGCTTAACAACGAATAAGAAGTGATATAGGCTAGACATCGGTTTCACGGCTGGTAGCTCACGACTGGTAGTTTACGGCTGGTAATCACGGCTCGTAGTTCACGACTCGTGGCTCACGGCTCGTAGCGCATGGCTTATGACACTGAGAGCGGACAATGAATGACGAGAGACGACGATGAAGCGAAAGTAGCGGAATAATTATCGGGGAGATAAGAGGATCCCAGAACTATAGGACATAGGACTCTTCTTTTCCTTTCCGTCCCCCCCCCCCCCCCCCCCCCCCCCTTTTTCTCTCCTTCTAATATACTAGAACATTTTTTTTTCCCGTTTTCGAAGAAAGAGGGGTCCAAACTAGGACAGACTAGGCGGAAACGAGTGTAGTCGGTAACAGGCTGTGATTACATCCGATAAGCGAAACGGAACCAACGAGGCAGCCATGGATGATGGAGAAAAAAAAAAGAAGAAAAAAACCCCAAATGAAGACGAGGACGCGTGACGTTTTTTTTTTTGCTCTTTAAGATTGCTGCCTTCTTAACTGGAGATGCAGTCTTATCCTTTTCTTATGCTAAGAAAGGCTTACACGATCTGGACCGACCGGCGCTTCGTCGGACAGCTTTGATCAGGGGCAGCAGCGGCCGACGTTCTTCTAGATGCGCTCTCGGGAGGAACGAACCCTTCGGCATAGAGGACGCAGCATTGCCGCTCTGGGAGCATGTACCGGTGACGGCATGGCATGGTGGGCATCGACACAGGGGATGGGAGTCGCATGTGTGGAAATTGGAAATGAGGGCCCCGGGGGGGCTTGTTTTTTGCTTCGGGTATATTCGGATATATTACCTGCTCTTTTTCTGAGCTGGTACTTTTTTTTTGCTTAATAATTCTGACTCTTATTTCTCTCTTCTTCTTGATTAATATTTTTAAGTTCAAGTTTTGTTTCATCATTTGTCTTTTTTTTTAAAAAAAAAAAAAAAAAAAACGCAATCACTCAATGAACTTCCACTGACGCTCCTTTGCAACCCACACATGTATACCGAGGTACCCAACGTCTTGTAACTTCACCACCGGGCAAACATGGCCCCTCGAGGCGTTCCCCCTTCCGGTATATCAATCCCCGCTTCCGTCTCGCTTCCCAGGCGAGGCTTGGGAAGTGCCGGTGTTGAATGTCGCATGAGATGGGTCCCTGGAAAAGGGGGGCGGCCTCTTGGTTTCGTGGCCGCGGGAATTGCATCAAGCATCAGCATGTTTGAAGCTGAAGGCGTCATCTCTGAGTGCAGTAGGGGTACCAGGGAGTTGCTGGTTCATCATGGAGGCCATGTTTGATGGCATTTCCATACTAGGTCCGCCTACTTTCCTGTCCGCCTGAGTAGGTACCTACGTACTTTAATTGTGAGGGGACTTAATATGAGCGGTACTTTTCAGCATGTGAAAGTACACTTTCAAAAGTAGAATCGGTCTCGAGAAAACTCCGTTCCTCTCTCTATAATTATATATATATATATATAGAAAAGAAGTAATTAGTTAGTGTCGTCATCTTAATCTATTCAAACCAAGAACCTAGTTAGCCCATATAATCATTCTTGACTCGTGTATCTTTACACGCGCCCCTCGTCGAGCGACTGGCCTTTCCAAACGGTTGCCAAAAAAAAAAGTTATTATCGAATCAGGAGTCAACAACCACACAGCGACGCAAGGCGATGCACCCTGGTTCCGCCGTCGGCGTGCGTAGGGTAGGCAAGTCCACCACTGCGCGCTTTGCCCGCTCAGTTCTCCGAGTAGGAAGGATGACATTGGCTTTGGATTTGCCATTTGTAGTTTGCAATTTGCAATTTCGCCAACGGAGCACCAATGAGCTTGTTCAGACCCCGAGCCTTCTGGGCCATCATTTCGCTGCTTGTCAAATGCGCATCAGGACAAATCCAGTCGGCGTCTAGTACTATGCATATTTGTCCGTTTTTTTTTTAATAAGCATATAATATACATATCCATTCTGTTTGATTGTACTAAAGAAAATCAAAGACAAACACCAGGGAGTTTTAGACCCCACCCCGACTGACAAACCGGAAGACCCCGCGCGAGTGCCCGTATAAAGTGGGACCTGCGCGCCAAGGAGACTAATTTCCCCACGCATTGACATATTACTAAATAGAGAACTTATCCGGGAGCTTTCTTTCCTTTGTTCCTTTTCTTTTTTATTTATATCATACTTCTCATCTTTATTCTCCATGCCATATCCAGACCCAGACCGCCACGC